AGGTTCAAGTGATTCTCCTGCCTCAGCCTCCCCAGTAATTGGGATTACAGGTGCCTGCCACCATGCCAGGCTATTTTTGTATTATTAGTAGAGTCGGGGTTTCACCATGTTGGTCAGGCTGGTCTCGAACTCCTGACCTCGTGATCTGCCCGCCTCAGCCTCCCAAAGTGCTGGAATTATAGGCATGAGATTTTTATTCTTTTAGTGAAGAAAGCTTCACATTTATACCAAAACCCGATAAAGAAAGTACAGTGAAGTTTAGAAATTCATCGCACTTAGGAAAATAGATTCCAAACTATTTAAATAAAAATATTGCCAAAATAAAAACATTATGCATTTGACCATGTGGGATTAATTTCAGGAAAGCCAGAATGTTTCAATATTCAGGAATCCATTAATCTAATTTGCCATACTTTTAGTACTAAGGAAGACAATTATATGACTATATCCAAGGAAACACAAAAGGCATTGGACAAAATTCAACACTCATTTTTGACAATAAATAATAAAAAAATATTTATAAATGGCATAAATATAATAAATAAAACCAAGTATAATTGCTGGTGGGCATATGTGTTGGTATAAGTGCTTAAGAAAACTGTGTGACACAAAAATTCCATTCCTAGATATGAGATCAACATATAGGTACATTATTTCCTCATTTTCAAAACAGAAATAAAATGTGCATAGGAGCAATATTCTTAATGGCCCCAGACTGGAAACCACAAAAATGTTATCAACAATGGAATGAAATAAAATAGAAATTGAAATATTATGCAGAACTGGAAAAAACAGTTTTTGCTACTAATAATAGAAATGTATTTCAAAGAGCTAAAACTGAACAAAGAAAGCTAGACATAAAGAGTACATATTTTGTGATTCTCTTTATATAAAGTTGAAAAAGTGTGTGAGAGTAATTTATACTGATAACCTTTTAATTTGTGATTATATCTGAGAAAAGTACTAACTGAGAAGGGTAACAAGAAGGAGGCTTGTGGGGTGCATTAACTCTGCTAGGTTTTAATCCGATTGTGTTACCTAAGCATGTTCAGATTTTTAAAAGTCACCAAGCTGTGTATTAATATTTATCCATTTTACTATATGTATAATTCAATAATAAGTATAAAATGAATAGTGATAGTAATGAATCATAATATATTAAATAAAATTCATGGGGTCATAGCAATACCTGACAACAGAAAGGAGAAGAGGGAGAACTTTCAGATACAGAAGAATGCAAGATAATAAATGTAGAAGTGATGAGAGAATAAGAAAACCTCAGACTTTCAAACACCATGTAATAATTGATATAGGCATATAGTTAGTACTCCATAACAGTTGATTATTTTTTTAAAACACTTTTCTTTTGTTTTTATTGTTTTCACACAATCGGAGAAGACCCAAACCTGTCTCCTGAGACCTAGGTAATCTCTAATGTTTTGCCTGACTCACTGAGTGAGGATCCCAACAGAGTCCCACGTGGAGTCCAGCTAAGACAATCAGTCCCTGATGTCAAACAATCTATGACCAGCTGGGTGCCAGGCAATTAATAGTAAAGACAACATATCATGTTGAATTTCAAATACATTTTAGAGTAAAAGTAAGCTCTAAAATAATTATAATTATGTAATTTAAAACTAGTTATTTACTGTATTAGTCCATTTTCACACTTCCGTAAAGATACTACCTGAGACTGGGTAATTTATAAAGGAAAGAGGCTTCATTAACTCACAGTTCCAAGTGGCTGGGGAGGCTTCAAGAAACTGATTACCATAGCAGAAGGCAAAGAGGAAGGAAGGCACATCTTACATGACAGCAGGAGAGAGAGAGAGCAAGAAGCGGGAAGTGCCAGACACTTATCAAATAGCCGTATCTTGTGAGAACTCTCTATTACAAGAACAGCATGGGGGAAACCATCTGCATAATCCAATCACAGCTCACCAAATATCTCCCTCCACACATGAGGAGTGTAATTCAAGATGAGATTTGGGTGGGGACACAAAGCCAAACCATATCCTTTACTGACCAATGAATTGTTATTAGTGGACCTATAGATTAGTTCCATACAAAAATCATTTTAAATAATAAAGTTTAATAATTTATAATAATTGGTTATAAATGTTTATATTTTTTTAAAATTATAATATGCAGGTTCATCCATGTCCCTACAAAGGACACAAACTCATCATTTTTGATGGCTGCATAATATTCCATGGTGTATATATGCCACATTTTCCCTGTCCAGTCTATCATCGATGGGCATTTGGGTTGGTTCCAGGTCTTTGCTATTGTAAACAGTGCTGCAATGAACATTCGTGTGCAAGTGTCCTTATAGTAGACGATTTATAACCTGGAAACCATCATTCTCAGCAAACTGACAGAAGAGCAGAAGATCAAACACCGCATGTTCTCACTCATAGGTGGGTGTTGAACAATGAGAACACATGGACACAGGGAGAGGAGCACTACACACTGGGGTCAGTTGGGGGGAAATAGGGGAGGGACGGGGGGGGTGGGAAGCTGGGGAGAGATAGCAAGGGGAGAGATGCCAGATGTAGGTGATGCGGAGGAAGGCAGCAAATCACACTGCCACATGTGTACCTATGCAACAATATTGCATGTTCTTCACATGTACCCCAAAGCCTAAAATGCAATAAAATAAATAAATGGAAAAAAAAAAACTTAGATGGGAAAAAAAAATTATAATATGTAATGGTTTATTGAGTACTAAAACTCAAGCAGTATATTTATTCTTGGTGTATTCTTACATATTTTAATAAGCTTATCACATCTCCCTTTAATGCTTTTACACTGTTTTTTTTTTTAAATATGTATGTTATTCAGTAGGGTCATATTATACCTATTTTTAAAATAAAATTTCCTGCAATATTCTACAAAGATATATTTTATGGTTAATAAATTTCAAATTCTTGATGGCATAAAAAGCATATAAATCCAAGACGAATTTGTACTGAATCCAGAAAATGCCTCCCAATTACATCAGTTACTGAAATATACATCTAATATGGAAAATAAGTAATATTGCTTTGTCTTCCCTCATTGTCTACCACAGAAAACACTAAAAGTACAGTAGTCCCCTCATATCCAAGGTTTCACTGTCAGCAGTTTTAGTTATCAACACTCAACTGTGGTCTAAAAATATTAAATTGAAAATTTCAGAAATAATATATAAGTTGTAAATTTTGCACAACTCTGAACAGCACAATGAAATCTCAAGTTGACTCACTCTGTCTTACCTGGAACGTGAATTCTCACGTTGTCAGACAGATGCACACTGCATCCACTTCCCAAACCTTAATCACTTAGAAGCCATCTTGGTTATCGGATTTACTGTCATGGGATTGCAGTGCTTGTGACCAAGGAACTTTTATTTACCTTCATAATGGCCCCAAAGCACACAAATGTAAAACACTATCTTAACAAGCAGTGTGGTCACCTTGGTATTCATAAGCGCATTTCAAAAAGTGTTTATTGCTCCCCTCCCTTTGTCCATGTGCAGCAAATCACACTGCCATGTGTGTTCCTATGCAACAATTTTGCATGTTCTTCACATGTACCCCAAAACCTAAAATACAATAAAATAAATAAATGGAAAAAAATAAATAAATAAATAAATAAATAAATAAAAAACAAAAAGTGTTTATTACCATCTTCAGTGTTAAATAATTGCATACCTCTGTAAAGGATCTTTTAAATAGATAATTTCATTCCTATTATCTCCAGTGTTATTCTTATATAAAAATGTACCTATATTTAAAAGTAGCATTAATAAAGTGTCATCATAAGTGTTGCTTTTCTCCACATGGTTGCTTTCCTCTGATCCTCTTGTGATTTCCTTCATTTTTCCAGCAGCATATTTCAATGTGACATGCATCATCATTTTTTTCTGCCATGCCTGTTTAACTGTCCTTAGGTAGCATTTATTTTTCATAAACGCCTCTGTGGCTCTGTGCCAGCAAAAATAAATATTAAACCAAATTTTGCTAAAGCAACATAGTGTAGTGTAATTCACTCAGGCTTGGGTATCAGACAGGTGAACCTGTGTTTATTATATAAGGTCTTTAAAGTACGTGGAAGTTACAGGTCAAATTGCAGGTCTTCCACTTACTCAATGAGGAACCACATCTGTAAAATGTGAATAATAAAGAGTGAGGGTTAATGTACTTAGCAGATGCTTACTAAATAGCAGCCATTATTATTTTCATCATTGCCATCCCTAGAGTATAAGCCAAAGGAAATCGTGCATAAACACATTGGTGGCCTGATTCTTGAATTCACACTGCTCACTTGACTCAATGCTTGTTTATTTCTGATAAAACACTAATGCTAGCAATGGAGCACTTCTTGTCATCTGGAAAATATACCAGAAACGCATGAATGAAAAGAGGAAGTATGAGGCTAGCCCACTTCTTTTTGCTGCCACCTTTAGTCACTAGGCTGAATGATAGGAAAGCAGAAGCTAAAACACAGTAAAATCAAATAAAAGACAAAACCTACATGAGGAATTAAGAGACTTCTACTGAAAAGAAAGAGCTTGGGTTTAAAACAAATCATTAGCTATTTTTGAGTGTATTTCTTGATTATTTAGAAAGTCAACATCTCTGAGAAAGCAAAGCAAAGATTGTCAGCTAGAAAACAAGTTAGACTTATTTAAAAGAAAGAAAGACTTTCATCAAGTAAAGAGTTTCCATAACCACCAGTTTTAAGATGCTGTAAAATGTCATAATTCAGATTTAAAAAAGAATAATGTATCATATTGGAAAGTTTTTTTTTGTTTTGTTTTTGTTTTTGTTTTTTTTCCAATTTTGTCTTGTTTTTTGTAGGGGAAAAGGTCATATCTTCCTGCAAGGAAAAAAAAAAAAAAAAACCTGGCCAAAGACATACGAACCCTGTTCCATATTGCTATAGCATGGTGCATGAAATACACAGGCTTGAACAAATGAATAAATATTCATCACCTCTACCTTTTTCTTTTTTAGGTGCCTCCTATACTCCTTGATAAGCAGTTCTCTGAATTCACTCCGGACATTACACCAATCATTTTGGCAGCCCATACAAATAATTATGAAATAATAAAACTCTTGGTTCAGAAAGGGGTCTCAGTGCCTCGACCCCATGAAGTCCGCTGTAACTGTGTAGAATGTGTGTCCAGTTCAGACGTGGACAGCCTCCGTCACTCACGCTCCAGACTCAACATCTACAAGGCCTTGGCCAGTCCCTCTCTCATTGCACTGTCAAGTGAAGATCCTTTTCTCACAGCTTTTCAGTTAAGTTGGGAGCTTCAGGAACTGAGCAAGGTGGAAAATGAGTTCAAGTCAGAGTATGAAGAGCTGTCACGGCAGTGCAAACAATTTGCTAAGGACCTACTGGATCAGACGAGGAGTTCCAGAGAACTGGAAATCATTCTTAATTACCGAGATGACAATAGTCTGATAGAAGAACAAAGTGGAAATGATCTTGCAAGACTAAAATTGGCCATTAAATACCGTCAAAAAGAGGTGAGTGTTGCCAGACTTGATCCATCAAAATGCCATAGAATTTAATCACACTGAAGCAAACTGCTACTTGCAAAATTAGTTTTGGGTTTTAGAGCATTTTCTATTCAGCTGTAAGTAGATGACATTTATTGTCTGCCAGACTAATCATTATGAGTCACATTGAAGAGTGGTAATAAATGGTTTAATAATTGATATTTTTGGCATCTGTATTAAAATGTACACATTGACTATGGTATAATGAAAAAACTAATGAATTTTAAATATCTCCAGACTGAGATTTCTGGTTCTGCTATTTACAAGTCCTGTAACTTTAGAGGGTCACAGATAGATTTCCTTAAGCTTCAGTATTCTCGTCTGCTTAATGGATTTAATATTTATAATATTTGATATATGTATATATAATCAGCCCTCTATGAGTTAACTCATAAACTCTGTATCTGCAGGTTCTGCATCCTTGGATTCAATCAACTGTGGATGGAAAATGCAATATTCATAGGATGTGGAACCTGCAGATATGGAAGGCTGATTTTTCCTATCCATGAGTCCCATAGGGCTAACTGCCACAGGGCTAGGGCAGCCATGAATTTTGGTAGCCACATGAGATCCTGGAACCAATCCCCCACATACTTGGGAACAATTGTATTTATATAGATATTTGTCTTATAGGTTTTTAGAAAGTGTAAAATACGTGGATGTGTGTGAAGACACTCAGTAAATTATATGGTATTGTTTTATTTATATCAATAGCTACATTATTATAAATTATTAATAAAAGAAAAGCCTTTAGTACAATAACAGATGTAAATACTAAAACTTTTCTCATGTCTTGCTCAGTGTTTTGATTTGTCAGGAATAAGAAATCAAAGAAGTTCATCACAAGGAATTAACAAATTTCTTGTAAAATTCCCATAAATTAAGAATGCTCTATTAAATAACAGAATCTCATATCTCTTACCCTTAATCACCCAGCATAATTGGTTTGTGTTTGAGTGGGTTCTCAAAAGAATGTTTACTTCTCTCTGAAGAAAATATTGGTTCTCTATTCACTCTTAAATGATAGTAATTATCTATTTCAGAAGAATACTTGCAAATACTATGTAAGATGAAAAAAAGAGAAAAAGCAAAAGACTTCTGAATTATAAAATCTACTCAGTTTCTTTTGAATTTGGCCTTGACAATCCTATATAAGTTCTGGTTGCTCTGCCTGTTTCTACTCACTAAATACTCAAGGTTTAAGATAACTGAATTTGCTTTCTTGATTTTTTTCCTGTAGTTCTGTGATTAGATAAGCTAATCTAGTTGTGATGAGAGCCTGAAACAAGGTGAAGTGAACAGCTTCTTTAGTATACATTCCCTCTAACTCTAAAATCACATTTGCTATTTTGAGATCATGTCAGCATTATTAACTAATTTTCTTAGGTTTTTATGTTTTGGACTCAAAGATCTAATACTTTTAAGGAACTAGAATAATTTTACTACACAACAATAAAATACATTGATAAAAAACTTCACATGATCAAAGATGTTCAAAGTGGTAAATGTGAACATAAGAAGTCATTTCAGGCTCTAGACTTGATAAGACATTGAGATATTGATGTAGCCTAAATCTTCTTAAAGGCCCAAATTAGCACAGTAGTATGCTTTGCTTTCTTTAGTTTTTCTTTGGAGAGGGGGCTTTAAATCATTGACATGATGACTGCAAAGATCTTCTCTTATGCTATAGCTGTTTAGTTTTAATATTATCCTACAAATGTTGAATGGAATAAAGTTCCCAAGATGTTCAGTTCACAAAAGAAAAGAACACAGAAGCAGCTGCTCTGCTCACCTGTTGCTCTTTAGGTCTCTCTGCAGCCAGTGAATGAACTCAGCTTTACTTTTTGTCTGCCCTCATTTTGGTCATGCCATCAGAGCTGATTTAACATTATCTTTGGCCACAGTAATTTTTGTGAAAGCCTAGGAACAAAATACTCATAAACTCCTTTACCATATCCTCATTACCGAATGTTATCAATGATACTGCACTAACTGAAGCTGCCAAATTCCAGTCAAAGAGTTGTTTGAGATCGAAATTGTAATTTGAGTTTCTTGCATATTTATATTTTTACTTACAAATCATTTAATACACTTTGGTCATGCATTCATTTCTTCATTTAACAACTCTTTCAACATATATCTCACAGAGCACATCCCAGGCAATGCCCGGGGCACTTGGGGTTCCATGATGTCAGATCTGTGCTCTCACAGAGCTTATAGTCTATTAGGAAAGACAATAAAACATTGAATAGGTGCTCTCCATTTTGTTCCTGAACTGCTAAAAATATTATGCCTCACTAAACATTTTTTTCTTTGCATATGTTCCTCTGTATATATTATAAATATGAAAAGTGGATTCAATGTCAAAATCTATTAAAAAGCCACAACTCTAGCCTGGTCTTTGGTATGTAAGAAGCAAAGCAATGGAATGCATTTGATAATTTCTAACACTTCTCTCAAGATGTTTGTACTCTTGCTAATATTAGGTTATGGGAGGGTGATATAGCCTAATAATACAAGATAAAAGATAGCCAAAAAACATACAGCATGTAACAAGAAAATAAGAATTAGTGCTATTTTTTAAAAGATACTTTTTTGTAGATATGAGGTCTTGTTATGTTGCCCAAGCTGATCGATCTCAAACTCCTGGGTTCAAGTAATCCTCCCAAAAAAATAAAGTTTTAAAAGACATTGTATTGGCATTTTTTCCTTTCAAAATGTTTTGAGATTTCAATGGAGAAAAAAATTAAAATTAATTCTTACAGAGTTGTTCTGGAATATATTGCATTTACTATCAAAGAGCATATTTTTCTCAGATTGACAATTTTTCCAAAGTAAAGTAACATTGGATAGCTGATAGCACTATTTTTAAAATACAAGAATAATATTTTACTTTCACGTATATCCTTTAAAATCATAGGTTGTGTTTTACAACATGTATTCTTAGGCTATTCGGAAATTATTGAATTCAAATATTAAAGGTTTTCTAGTAAGATCATGTGCCTTAAATAAAACTCTGCTTTAGCATGTCTTGCTTCATACCTGTCTTATGAAAAGTTCTCCTTGGTTTGGTCTAAACAAGTTTGAAGTTTGTCTTTAGTCCAACTCTCAGAATTTGGAATGCTTTCTCATTAACCTTAATTCACTGGGATAAATCCTCCACCCTCTTTAAAGGTCATCTCACGTCTGGTCTTTACCCCGGGAGCATTCTATGAAGCAAACCCCTCCATAGACTGTTTGATAAATGCCCTTATTATATATACCCTGTATTGCATTATGCTATTACATTTCCATCTCCTCCTTTAGGCAGTGTCAGGAACATATCCATCTTATTCACTAGTCATACCATAGCCCCTGACATACAGAAAGTACTCAGTAAGGAATACACTTGAATGAAGTCACAGACGATCTTAGATCTGGATGGTTCCCTGCATGTTTCTTTGCCTGAATAAATTGCAGTGTTTAGGTTAATCTCCTAATAATAGCTTACTTATGAATCAAAATGTTAAAACAATTCATGTTGCCAGGATTTGATTGCAGATTCATTCTAGTACTTCCCTAATCTCATTCAAAGAGAAAGGCCTGTGTTAATTGCATGCCATAGATATTTTTTACATTTTCATTTTATATATTCTTTCTAAGCAGCAGCATTATAGAAAGAATAATTTTCTTATTTCTATTAATTCTAGGCTAATGATGCTATAATTTTGTTGATCATATATTAGTGGAAGGCACATCTTGTATCAATTCAAATGAGTGTATGTTAGCAACTGGGTTGTTTACATGGTTTATTACATTAAACTTCCAAATACACTTCTGAAGTATGAACTATTTATGGATTTTTTTTCATGAAAAAAATCTGAGTCACAAAGGGTTATATAATGTGCAGTGTGACTCTATTAAATATTGCCGCCAGGTTGCAAATCTAGATCTTAACTACAACAACTTTGCTCTAACCATCAAACCATATTGCTTCCACCTGGACAACATTCTGCTGCACACTGGGTAAACCTGAGAAAACTAAAGCTACTAGCCTAGTTTTGTTGAGCACATGAATTTATTTTATGACTCAGCTCCCCTGTAACGAAAGCCTTGCATTTCAACTTGATGTTTCCTTTGTTTTCACATTGTGATGAAGCATTTGATTTCTCCAGAGTGTAAAGCCTACTTTTCCTTTCTTTCTTACTCCACTTTTACATTTCTGTGTCAAACAATAATCTTTCAGGTATCATTCTGCAATGGGACAGGTTTAAGCTTTAAGGTTGCTCCCTTGACCAACCACTCCCATCCCAATGTCAGTCAATCATCTAAATGAATAATATCAAAGGAAGCTGGGAAAAAAACCATGTAGTCATACCCTTAAAACTGATTCTTCCCCTGAGTGTAACATAAAGGTGAGGTATGCCTGAGGACATGTCTTAAAGAGCTTGTCCCTTAGTTTCTGGTATAATTTTTGCAGATTCAGAGTCTGTGACAGTTAAAATTACTTCCATGCAGTCATTCCTCTTGCCTAGTATTTGTGAGATCACTAAATGTGAATAAGGAGCTTAATGTATTTGTTAACTATATTTTTACAGCAAAGACCTTCCTTAGTTTTAGTTACCTGATTGACAATATTGTGAGGTAACTAATTAAAAGGCAGAGTGGCCTAGATGTTGAATAACAACAAAAAGCAAGGAAATACATTATTCTGTGTAAAAACATTACAATGCAAACTCTCTATAGCTTTTCGAATTAAAGTGAAAAGTAATCTCTACATAGCAAATAGCATAAGACACACACACACACACACACACACACACACATATATTAAACATATATTAATATATATTTAATTTAAATTAATATATATTTAATTAATAATTAATATTTATTATATTAATTATATTAATATTAATTATATTAATATATACATTTAATTTAAACATAGAGGAAACATAAGGGAATATAAATATATATATATTTAA